TCTGTTCCAGCCATGTCTACCTGTCTTCATTAGAGCATCAGTTCTGTGAACGGGAAGGTTTGCCTATTTTGTTCACTGCTGCATCTCCCAGAGTAGAGCCTCGCACATCGTAAGTGCTCAGTAAATGCGGGGTATGTGGATGACTACTGGCTCCATGGGTCTCTTGCTCTGCTAGATTTTAGTACCACACAGAGGTTCCCTTTGCCCCTTCATTTGCCAAATTCCCTTTGCTGACACTATTCATAAAAATCATAATCTGGTTCTGAATACCCTTTTTTCCCATTTAATTATTGTTATAATGTCGCAGTTAGTAAAGGAAAGAAACATTTTATGAAATGAAATTAAATCAAGACACAATAAATGTCTAAATGCAGAAGATTCTACTAGAGAACTCAGGGCATGCAAGCCTGGGTCCTACCAGTGCCATTCCAGACCCAAGGCCCTCTGGGCAGGATATCCCTGTCCAGTTTCAGGCTTTTCTCTATCCCAGCAGACTGAGTACAGGGCCACAATGGCAAATGCTTAGCCATGTTTCTTCTGAGCTTTTGGCTTCTGCTAGCAGTAGATTTGGGAGCAGTACTGTGGTCCTATTTTTGTTTGCAAACAGATAAACACCAGAGTTATATTGCAGAAAATTTGGTTTTAAAGGACAAGCCTATAGGTATTTGGCTCATGCACTTGTAACTCACTACCTCTGTGACTCTTGCAAGTTGTTCAATCCTTGAGACTTCATTTGTTTAATTTAAATGGAGATAATATTTTTTCACATTTCAGACTCATTGGAGAGATTTAAAAAGACAAAGTGTGGGCATTAACTGGCTTACAACAGCAAGTAAGCAAATTATGGGTTTTATTTCTACTCTCAGCATCATTTGGAAACACCAGCTCCTAAATGATCGATACACCAAGAGTGCACACATCCACGCCTTCCTTTATATGCTGGTTTACACAGTTGTACTTGCACTGGGGGCTGGATCAAACTGGGAACACAGCTGGGGCAAAACGAATCTGTGGGCAACATGCATCCATGCATTGGCCCTCACTCTGCTGAGTCCCTCATCATAGCTTGGTGCAGAACCAGCAGATTCCTTGCCTAGACATGCTAGAGGTGGCAGGCTTCTCTGCAGTTTTTAGAGTCCTGACACCTGCCAAGCAGCTCTGGCTGTAGGCATACTATTCAACATCACCGAGCTGGACTGCAGCACCCACAGTGTGGTGTGACCACAGTTCCCATGTTCCTGAGTTCCCACAAGGCTATCCAGGTAGGGTAGCAGTACTCAGTTGTGAATGCTGTGGAATCAGCTAGTGGGCTTGTTGAAATGTGAATTCCTGGGCCTAACTCCACAGACTCTGGGAGACAATGTGTTTTCCTAACATTCCTAACACATCCCAGGGGATGCTGCTGTTGCAGGGCCAGGACAACACCTGAGAAGCAAGGTGTATAGTACTTGACATGGCATCTGGTGAGTAGTTACTGTTCAAAGGTGTCCTGTTACATTGTCGCAACTTTATGAACACCTTTTTAGAATACCTGAAATCTGTCTCCTTCCAGGCACTCCTCTGCCTTCGGATCCACAGGGCATGGACAGTCCGGGTTTCCAGCAAAACACTATGTGTTTTTGGCCTCAAAACACTGACCTGTACTCTAAGCAATGGGAAGTATCTGAGCACCATATTATGGATCAGGGGTCTGAGGCAGGGAAGAGCTGCCTGTTGACCAGGATCTGGCTAGAAGAGGACAGAACCTAAAACATCCAGGGTGTATAGGCGGAGAGATGCTATTAATTCTTTTCACTACTGACCGGCTTAATCAAACCACCATGGCTTGTTTTGTTTTGCTATGTTTTCCCGGAATGGCCTCACATGTTTCTTTGACTTCACTGAACACTTATTTTGACAATAAACAGACACAGTATAATTGTCAGTGAGCACATTGAGATAGGATCTGTGATAAATGGAAAATATCCAAAAGTCACATGTGGATGTCAAAGATTTCCTGCACAGTGGCCTTAGGGAGCCCTGGCTTCAAAGAGTGCTTTGCTGCACTGTTGCTTCCCCTCCCCCCAAAAAACTTAGAGCCATGAGGGTCATTGGCAGCCACCCAAATTGCCCCCCCATCCAGTCCCTGGGTTTAGAACTCCCAGCTGGTCTTGCCTAGGGCAGCACTGATTCAATTTAGAGCCATGATTCTCAGAGTGTCTGTTCTATTTTGTGCCACACACCCTCCCTTTGGCAGCTGCCCGTTCCCCTCAAATGGCCTGCTGGAGATTTCACATCTGCAGTTTGGACAGAATGCACAGCAGCCTCATGGCCAGGCTGAGGCGTTGTGTGTAGGGGCCCATGGAGGCCTAGATCTGCAGCAAAGCACAGGCCTCCACAGCTACAGACTAACTGGGAGAACCTACCTAGGAAGCAGCTGTAGTGTGGGAGTCCTTATTTTCTGAGCGACTTGGACACAGGTCCTGTGAAGGGGACTCACTTTCAGAATTTATGCAAATGCCAGCATCTCTTCTTTATTGAGGCTCCACTGAAGGGAATTCATTCTCCAACCACAACAAAAAAGGAGGCCAGGGATCCTGGTCCCAAGAGCACCTCTTCTGACCCCAACAAGACAGGCAACCCTTACCCTCTGCAAAAGTGTCTGAGGTTCACCTCCAAAATGTGGGTCAGAACCTTGCACAGAAACTGCAGGTCATATTTGCTGCTAATAAAATAATAAATATCCCCTTAACCACTGAGGATATTAAATGTCTTGAGACACAAGTTTTAGTGTGTTAAGCATAAAATTGCTTTCTGAGCAAGAGAAACTAAACACTATTGTCTGCAATGGTAGCCTTGATTTTACTATAATTAAAATCTTTTGGACAGAGGTGCTACCCTCAGCCTGCCCTGCTCCAAAGAGAGGCTTAAACTCCAGGCATGTGGAACAGAGAGACCACTGGTGATCTGGGGTCCTTAGTAAGCTGATGATGGTCTGGTCTCTCATGTGGACACACAGGCCACTTCTCCCTGTGGCTTCACCATTTATCCAGAGTTCATGCTCCCTGGGACCATGCTGACAGGTGTCTACATGGATGGATGTTTATCTGGAACATCTGCTCTCATCAGCAGGAATAGGTCCCACCTCTCCCAGGGGAATTCAAGATAACACCAGATGCACTCCGAACTCTGGAATCAAAGTATAGCTTTGTGGTTGAAGGTATTTCCCTTGGGCAGTTGGGCCAAGGAAGGCCCATTTGTGGATGACCCAGGGATGTGGTACAGGGTGGGGGCAGATTTGGGTGCAGCTGAGGTTACCCACTTAGCTCATGGAAAAACCCCACAAAGCTCACAACAGCTCTCCTCGCTCCTCCATCCTCCTGACCTCCCCTTTTGTGGTGAGACTGCTCCTGCTAATTCACTTAACCCAGACTTCCAGTTGCAGCTCACACAGGCAGGAACAGGCTCCACCCACTGCAGGCATCTGACCATCCATGTACCTCTCTCCAGCTCCTCATGCATCCCTATCTGCAGTGTCCACAGTGCCTTGACTTGAAGTCCAGGGTCACTAGGACCTGCCTCCTTCCACAGCTGCCCATGCCCTGTCAGACCCAGGTAGGCTGGCTTGTCACCTGTGCTTGTGCTGCTGGAGATAGAGATCTGTGGCATTCTTAGGACAAATTCACAAAAGAGAAGACCACATAGATTCTTGAGGCCTAGCTGGGCCTGTAATAATTGCTCAGTCTAACCTCAGAGGGGCAGGATTCTCCACTACTGTCCATTGTCCTCCAGAACCAGGACCACAGAAATGGCCTCTGAACCCCACCCCTCCCTACTTTCCCGGCCCCATCTGAAAGTGATTTTTTTGCCTCACAAGTCACTTCTAAGAGGTGCTTGCCACAAGTCCATGGCTCTACCTTGCACCTCCTTTGACCATCAGGAAAGAAGGTTAGTCATCACCTGAGATGTGCAGATGACACAAACAGAACCTCCTAATGTTTTTCTTCTCACCAGCAAACTGAACCCACCAATTCAGAAGCCAGCAAGAAGCAACTTGCTCACCCTTGGAAGTCATTTTCAAGGCAAGAGAGAGAAATATTTTAAGCATAGGCCCTGACAGAGCTGGCTATTTGCAGCTTCAGTCCCACACTCATAGAAGACAGAGAAGGAACTGCAAGAACCCTCAGGAACCATCTATCCAACAAGGTGGCAGGCCCACACGCACCCTGCATCAGCATTGGGCTGCCTTTCTCTGATTTATTTGAGAAGATGGTAGTAAGTCATGGTGATGCCACAATTTCATGTCTTAATTGGCATGTATAAATGCCTTTGTTTAATTAATGAAGAGGATGAAAACATGATTTCAGAATGAATGCTCTTCCTTTGTTATGGAAAAATATTTCAAAACATGGGCTTCTTAAGGGATGCTATGTAATAAAAAGGAATTTGTACCTTTACAAATTCTAGAAGTCCCATCTAGAAGGAAAAGCACAATTGCACAGTGAGAGGTGCTGTTTCTACTAACAGGGCATTCATTTGAGATGGGTTCACACAGGCAGTTTCGGAACCAAAAGCTCTTACATGAACCATAAAACCCTCATCTGCTCCTTTTTTACTAGGCTCAGTGTTTTTAGGCATGTCCTCAAGCTGGGCCAGGAACTTCCCAGCACTGGGGTTGGCCCCATTAGCATGACCTCAGGGCCTGTGTGAAGGTCAGGCTATCAAAGGCCTTTACCAAGGGGACACCTGCCTCTGTCATGCAGGTCTCTTCTGGAAGGTAGTCCTGCATCTGTAAGAATAAAGAGGTGAGGCAGGCTGAACGACCCTGTCCAGCCTGCTGGGTATCCGACTTCTTCTGGCTTGTTTTCCAATCCCTTACATGCTGATACCCCCCACCCCCACCCCATGCAGTGGATGTTTAATGAACTTCCTTGGCTGTCCTCCCCCTGGGCCCGATGCACCTGTGCCAACATGGCCATGTAGTATGTCTTGTCGGACCAGCTGATAGGGAGAGGCCTTACCTCATGGGACAAGTAGAAGGCTGCGATGCCCAAAGGCCAGAAGCAGCAGAGCATGGAGAAGACACTGAGCCCCAGGTGGTCCCGCGGGGGCATCATGAGGAAGTTGTCCTCACTCTCTGTGTCACTTGAGTAGTCACTCTGCAGAGACGGAGGGAAGGGAGAGATTAATAATGCAATTGTTTCAGAGCTTCCCAGGGACAAGGGTGCCATGCCTGGCTGGAGCAGCTGCTACTGCTGACATAGTTTATGTCATCATTGTTGCCAGCAAGTATGCAGCCAAAAGACAAAGCTGCATCATCTGAGAAACTATGACAGAGAACAGGAAGATGAAAACCCCCAAGTACAGGGCCTTAGGTGATTCAACAGTAGGTAAAATCTTACAAAAACCAATTACAGTATGTATGGTCCCTAACTTACAATGGTTTAACTTAGGATTTTTTGGCTTTATGATGGGTTTCTCCAGGTATTAATTGCATTTTACCTTAGGATGTTTTTTACTTCTCATGGGTATATTGGAAGGTAACTCCACTGTGATTGAGGAGTATTCATGTTTCAAAAATCTTTGGGATCTTAGTGCTGGGCCAGAGGGGATAAAAGTGTAATCTCACACAGTTGCACAGGGAACTTCCAGAAGGCATGCCCCATGTGCATTTTAATTTTGTTCTCAGGCTTCTGCCCAATTTACAGGACGAGGCAAGGCTGGTGTAGAGGAAGGAAGCTGTCCCTCCACTACTCCTTCAAGTTTCCTTTGACTCTGATTGGAATCGGAACGTGGGAGGGCTGGTAAGCACCCACATGCACAGACTCCCTCCTGAGGGTCTCATACGGTTTTTCATGAGCAGCTAACTGGTTGTGACAGTTACACAGTGGGGCTCTCACAGGTCTGACCAAGACTCTCCTGGGGATTCTAATGTAGAAGGTCTGGGGTAGTGGAGGAGATGCTGGGGATAGTCATTTTTTTAAAGTTTTAGTTAAAGATTTATTTTAGTATAATAGAATAAAGCATAGACAAGGTGGCGGGAAGAGAAAAAGAAAAGAGAGAAACATTTCCTGTTCCCTACATAGGAAATGGGAGCAAAGACTCTGAGGATAGTGATTGTTAAGAAGCAGCTGGGATGAGCCACTACCCAACCTCCCTCAGGGTTCCCTGGTGCCTCCCAGATGCTGAATGGCTGGTGTCCTGCACTTTCTCTCACCCTCGGTGCCGGCATGGAGAAGATGCTCATGTTCTACTTGGTTGCACCTCTTGCTGTCCCCCATTGTGAGTTTTGTTTTCCTCATGTGAGCATATTTCATTCGGACTAACTCATCAGAAGACAAGGGGTGCTCTCTACACCTGCTTATTTTGCACAAAGATGGAGTCCTAGCTTAGTCCACACATTGCTTCCTAAAAAAGAAATGATGCTTTTCATCTTGAGGGCAGGTCATTAGCTTCCTAATCCCCTTTGCCAGTGTCTGGCAGAGGACCCTGCCACAGGCTGGAGATGCTCAGGAATGCACAGTAGAACTCGTCTGTGAGGGCAGTCCTGCACCCACACAGATGTAGAGAGACCTCCAAGTGACAAAGGTGTCCTTTGCGTTTTTGCAAACTAAGTGCATATAAAACTGCTGGAGCTTCTAACCACATGCAGACTGCAGAAGTGCTGCAGTAAGCTGAAGGAGCCCTGCCAGGACTTTATGAAAGTGTGGTTCACCAAATAAAACAGGCACATGTTGAAGGACTTCCCCAAGTGAGCTTGGGATGGGAGTTGGTGACTCACTGGCCACACAAGGCAGATCCATCCCACTACACACAGACAGACCTAAAGGTCAGGGAGTCTAGGGCCTCACTCCACAGAGAGTAGAAGTGATCCACTGCAGGCCACAGGTCACTCCTCACCATGTCACCAGTGCCACAGGGGTACTGTTTGCTGTCTACCTGGGTGTGAGTCACTGCTTTCTGGTCTCAGTGCCCCCTCCACGTGAGACTGCACAGCATCCCCTCCACAGAGCTACATCTATGAAATTTCAATTCTTTTTACTCTGTACATCGTCTCCCATATGGTCTTTGGAACAGTTAAAAGGAAATGAAAATTACCATCATTATGGCTATCAGAGATGGAAATTGAAACAGCCCACAGGGATGTATAATTCATGGGGAAATATGAGGACTGGAGGCTGCCCAGGTGGAGACACGTGTCCCAGCCAGGGAAAGACAGAACCATCCACCAGAACCAAGGATGTGCAGCCTTCATGTCCTCACCTCTTCTCTCTTTCTCTCTCTCTCTCTCACATACACACACACATATAGTCCTGTCACCTCAGTGTTTTCAGAAGGAGGCAAATTGGGGTATTGGGGGACCACTGGTGTATGTACTGCTGAGCTGCAGTCCAGAAGGGCTGAGTGGTATTGTGTGAAGTGCTAGGCAGGTCTAGCCTGATACAAACCTACCCAAAGTGTCCAAAGATCACAGAGGGACAGAGAGTGAGGTTGAAGGACTTCTCTTGGTCCTCAACTCAGACCTTGAACTGCATAAGCTTCACATCATGGGCTGAGCCAATTCAGATGGTGATCATTGCACACAAGAAACAGATCTGCTGTGCACATTTCTTTGGGTTTTTCATCTTTGTTTTTTAGTTTACAAAGACTTTAATGTACCTGAGCTCTTACCAATAGCAACTCTAGAAATGATCGCAATTTTTATTATCACTTCCACTTTACAAAGGATAAAGCTAAAGCTGAGATAGGCTGAAACACTTGCCAAATGACAGCCCTGCCCAGTGGGAGGTAGCTGGAGTCTTGGATCCCTGTCACCTCTTTGCTGAGTGCCACACATCAAATCCAATTTGTCTTAATTACTTCTATGTGTTCCTCTTTCTGGGTCCCCAGGAGTTCTGATGACTTTGCTTCTTGACTTGTCTGTTCCATGGTGGCAGCAGGAGGCTAGTGGACATAGTGGTTGACTGAGATTTTTTCCAGACACTCAGGGCTTAAAACTGATGCCTCCAGCAGCCAGGCGGGAAGCAAGACAAATTACACTATAGTCTCCAAGCAGCACAGAAACAGTTTCAGGTCCCTCTCCCCAAAATCCTCGCAGATTTGTACCTAAAAGCATAAAGAAGTCATGAGCTAAGACTGCAAACTTATAGTTTCATGGCACCAAAATAATCAAGTTTGATTAAAATGGATTTTCAAAGCTCACAAACTAGAATAGATAAAAGAGCCTAGCTCTTTCATTCCTTCACTCTTCCATCAGTAGGTGTTCTGTGGGTATGAGTGGCTGTGGCCATCCTGCCACCAAACAGAGAGGAAAAGGAAAGCCAGCCCAAGATTAGTCAAGTAGAGGAACCACTCACAATCAACACAAGAAAAACTCTGCAGAGCAGCCCTTTCTACAAATCCCCTCCATGGGTCATTGATGAACATCCACAGGATAGATGCAAAGCTTTTCACAGGAATTCACAGTGTATAAGGAGGTCCCCTTTTGAGCCACAGCTCTGAAAGAAGCAAAGTAGAAGACAGGCAACAGCTGGTTGGGCTCCTGGGCCCCTCAGTTGGTGCCTTACTGCTTGGTTGCTACCCACAATCCTCTGCCTGTTCACATCATCTCACTTAGAGAGATGATGCCTGTCAATTCCCATGACGTTTTCTTCAGTGACTCTTCTATTAAGTAATCACAAGGTCAGGCCCAGGGTGTTGCCCATTACAACATTCCACATTACTGCAGCTCAGTGAGCTTTGAGGTGTTTCTGGGTGCAATGTTGGGCTCAGTTGTGTTACTTGGTCTCCCTTGGGGTCTCATGAACAGTCTCTGGATCTTATGGTGTCTTCCTTCCTGTCTCTGGCCCTCTGTGCTTGCTTATCTTGGTGGCATGTCAGTAGGTGGTCCTAGGGGAGGCAGCCTGGGATGACCACATCTGCACTGTGCACAGTAGCTGCTGGCCACATGGAGTTATTTAAAACTAAAGTACTTAAAATTAAATACAACTGATAGCCTGTTCCTTAGTCTCACTACACATCCCAAGGGGTCATAAGCCATAAGCGTTCAGCCACAAGTGTCACATCAGACAGCACAGATGCAGAACATTCCCATCATTTCAGAAAATCCGAATGGGTTGTGTTGTCTTCTGAGCTATGACCCCTATGAACTCTGACCTCAACTCTTTCATTTATGGGAGCTCTCTGTTGTCCTTCTAAAATTCCCCAGGGCCTTTGCACTTGCTGTGCTCTGGCCTGGAACACTTTCCCCACACAATATGGCTTGGCTCACTATGGGGCTTTGCTCAAATACCACTTCTCATCAGAGCCTTCCTTGGACACCTGAAAGACTGTTGCCATCTCCCCCAACACCTTTATTACCTTACTTGCTCAGGGCTTCTCTGCACCCTAGCTGGTTCTGGCTTGTTTAGTGTCTGACTCCCTTCTTCTAAGCACCAAGAGGGCAGAGACCTGATCCTGTTTTGTTCACAGCTATAATATAAGGACAGAACAGCATGTGGTACACAACAGGACTCAAGGTACCTACCTGCGTGAATGAATGAAGAATTTACTTATTGCTTTAGCCAATGTGAACAACACTAACCAAATGTCAAGGCCCCTAAAATTTGTTCAGGGTACACTAGGGTGACCAGTGGATTGACCTTCACTTGAGTCTGTCATTGCCCATGAACATGCAGCATTCAGCTTGCTGCCTGACCCCTGCTCCCATCCTATCCTGAAATGACCTCCTGGGCTCTGTATTACCCACACAGGTGAGCCCACCAAGGGGAGTTTAGGTTTCTGGAAGGGCCAGAACTATGTTTTGGTCAGGTTTAAGACTGCCTTACTTAGGGTAGCTCTAGAGCAGTTGACAGACAACCAAGGTTAAAACACATCAAGAACATAGGAAGTGGTGCCAGCTCATGTGTTCTGTGTACCCAATGTTCTCTGTTCTTGCAGCCAGCATGGAGCAGACCTGTCTGCATCAGAAGATCGTGGAAGTGTGGGTGGACTGCCTCTGATGCTACCAGATAGAGCTCCACAGCCACTAGTGAGCCACATAGGTGGGAGCCACTGATGATCTTGTATGGCCAGTGCTGGGACCATCTTCCCTCACTTGCACTGCCGCAGTAACTTCTATGGGTCCTCTTGCATCCACTTAGGGGTTTTCTTTAGCAGC